ATTTTTCATAATAAAATGGGAATATGAACTATTCAGAAAGTACCAGTTAACAAAAGAACACAAACCACAATGTGCAGACTCATGAAAAAGTATTGTTAGTTACACATGGAAGGGACACAGTTTTGTCTACTTTCCTGAGCAACAGAGCAACAAGAAGGCAAATTCTGAACAGAGACGACAAAAGTACAGCCGAAACTGGCTAAACTTGACACTTCACGAAATAGTGTTCTTTCAGTGCTACTCTTCATAAAGTTTTATACAAGAAGCGAAACCAATGTCCTAAAGAGACCCTCAAATTCCAATATCTTATTCAGAGTGCCCCCAGCACCCAAGTGGCCAATAATTAATCTGTTAGAATTTAGAGCAATATTAATAACAATGCTTACAATGCCCTTTCTCTGCTCCCACCCATTGCAATCATATAAAATTATTATCCAATTTAGTATATTTTGACAGCATCTTTTAGCACTACACTATTCTGTCGCACTATAAAGATAAAAGTAACAAAGGTGAAAAGATAGAACCAGACATACTTTTCTGTCTCCTACAAGATAGCTTTTTGGACATGGTCACTTTGAGCAACACCATCAATATACAGCATAGTTATGTAAGTGGAAGGCACCACTTGTGGTGGAGAAAGATATTGAAGGCACTGCTGGCTGTACACAAATGCATTATAACCACAGTACAAGAATCAAAATTTGAAGAGAGAACAACTACCACAAAAATATCATTATCTTCTTTACACAAAAAAATTAATGAAATTACGGTATTAGTGTGCTTAATAAATTATCATCTTCCCAAAACAAATATAGTCAAAAATGTCCCTCCTCATATTGCTGTACATTGAATAAATAATAATCAGCATCATCACCTCCATCATCACCACCTTCATCATCCTAAAAATAATAATAATAATAATAATAATAATAATAATGATTAAAAATGGATAATCTTTAAAAGAAAAAAAGAAGAATGATAATTATGAAGCACTTGTATATATGTGTAGAAAGATAAGATTTTGATATGCTGGCTGAAGTTGCATTGACTTCTTTATAATTAGTCCCTTTACCTGGCTCACACTGAGTCATGTCCAGTTGGTCTTGGAACTGACTGTGGAATCTCCTTTGTTAGGCCCCTTTCATTGATACAAATACAGTGCGGTCTTAAGTTTTACTCCCAGTTGCTCCTGAAGTCTTCGAGGCGAAACTGCGCCATTTCAATAAACAAATTTTACCAAAAATTTTGAATTATATTTACCAACTGAAAAATAAAAACAAGACTTTCTCTCCCTACTCTACTTTTTCAACAATAATGATGATGATGATGATGATGATGATGATGATAAAGATAATGACAATGATAATAACAGAATATGAAAATATAGTATTCAAAACTGAAAACTGTTTTGACGTGGGTGCATGTGATTGCTTGAGTTTTGGCAAACCCCCTAGAGGGTACTGTGACAGTGAGGGCGTGCATACCTTAAACAAAGAATGAGTTGAACTTTAATAATTGACTGATCTCCACACCTGTGACCTGTACATGAATAATAAGATATAGTTCGTTGCCTCAAGAGTGAAGCACTGTGCAGCAAAACTGGCGAAAGAAAGGGGGTATGGATGTCCCAGGGGTGCATGCTTGTGATCTGGCAGAATTTACACCGAGTACTGGCATCTCACATGTCTGAGCTCTGGAGTCTACATGAAAATGCTGTCAGACTTTTTTTCATTTCACTAAAAACCAAACTACAAAGCTACCTAGTACAAATAATAATTAGGTGCGAGTCCCTGCTTCAGGTTTGAGGTGAGCATGGAAAACCTATCTGATCTTCTTCATTTTTTGACGACTCAAATCAACAATGTCAGCTCTCCTTTTGGCTCATTTCTAGACATCATGAGGAGTGTGAGGAGGGTGGGGAACCGAGAACCAGTCTTGGTGTGAGACTGGAATTATCAGGGAAAGCTACAGTATTTTGTTGGCTGGGAGAATCACTCGTGTGCCTCATGTGCATTACAATCTAGTGTTAAATCTGTGCTTTCTGGCAGCATTACCAACTGTTTCAACTAGACTGGCTGTTGATTCTCTGCGGAGGCTTTGTTTTTGTTTGGAGCACTTGCTGGTAGCTGTATCCCTCTTTTAGAAGGCTTGGTAAAATTGTTTTGAAAAGAATCTCTGACATCTGAAGAAAAGCTCACTCCACTAACTACTAAAGACTGTTGACATCACTACTAACATGCTTCAAAGCTTGAGCTTAATGTTTATCTAAGAAGAAACCATCAATCACAAATCAACTGGAAATCAGGATTACCTCAAAAGATGCAGACTTGCTGTTGGAGGTGTTGGAGTGCTGCCGTCCTTGCCTACCCACAGCTCTGACAGCTGGGGTGATGTGTCAAGTAAAAGTGACAGCCACAAAAGGAATTTCAGTGTGTTAGTCATCCATCGACTTCTCTTCTACTGCTTCAAAGCAGGATGAAAGTTTCCCCGACAAGGTGTTTTCTGAACCATGTGAGGAAGACACTAGGTCACATACTTGTATTCTTGGTGTTTCTTGCTGTACTTTGCAGATAGAGCGGGACTGTATTTGAAAACACTGATCTGCTCGGGTAATGGGTGTCAAGGCACCCTGGTTTATGAGAAGGTTATGATCCTGGCTTTGAGACACACTCAGTGCACTAGTGTCTGGTCTAGAAGAACCAGTTTCCAAACCAATCTGCTTAGTCTGCACCCGACACTTCTTTGAACCTGGAAAAATGGGACAAGTTTGTGGAGGACATGAGGAGCCTTTCCAGCCTTTAGCAGAATTAGTATCAAACAGCTTTCTTTCAGGCATTGATGCACATGAGCAGCCATCTGATCCTTCTTGACAATCTCTAGGGCAAGGTGACTCCTTTGTGGGTTGTGAGTTTTTGTCGCCTTGAGATAATTTTTTGCTGTGTCCTCTCTGAGGCATGGAGGAGTTGGTGCTAAGGCAAGCAATGTTGTCAGTCTCCAAGCTCTTGATAATCGTGTCCTGGGATGCAGAAGTTGTTCCTCTCTTTGAGTCAGTGCTGGCCTCAGACTGTTGGCTGTACCAGGATATCTGACCGTCAGTGTCATCTTTCACAAAACAGCAACCACCTTCAAACTTGACATTCTCATTTACTCTGGCATCACTGTCTACAAAGTCTGCTCCAGCTTCCACAAGCTGTCCAGGTGACGTCTTTGCTTCTTTGGACACACTGCTGTCCAAACGAATGTTTGCCAGCTCTTTGTACAAACATTTCGCCAAGTCATCGATGACGGCTGTGAGGTAGCAGTCTAAAGTTTCCACACAAGACGAAGCAATCAAAGACATCTGTTGCAGAAGCAAGGACTTGTTTCTGTCTGTTATTAACTCTGATCCCTGAGGTAAACCTGACACATCTGAGAGGTCTCTGGATTCAATGAGGTTTGGACTGGGAGTGGTGTCAGGGTTAGGTTCAAGCAATATCCTTGCAGTAGGCACAGGAACCAACTGCCAGTTTATTTCCTGTTGTTTCTCTTCTGACCAGTCCAGCTCCATCACTGTAGACATCTGAGGTCTCATCTTGGCAGCTTGCATGTGGAAAACACTGCTGGGGGCCAGGGTCGGTTTGAGTTCCTCGGCTAAAAACTTCTTGAGGTCGGATCTGACGACTTCTGAAGCAGGAGCCAGCTGTGATTCCACCACAGAATCAATGATCTGGTCCAGGTGGTCCTCAGACAATTCGGCTGGCCGGCCGCAAACATCAGTTGTTGGAGCCACTTTTTCTCTCGACTGTTCTTGTACCAGAGCCTTGAGATGTTGTAGAGAGGACCTGATATCTTGAGTCGCTGAGACGAGATTCAAAGAAGAGGAGTAAGTGGCGTCATCCTCTTGTTCAAAGGTACCAAACTTGTTGCTGTGACCTGGCAGGTAGACCTGCATACATCTGGAGCTGCCACTGCACTGAGCACTTGTGAGGATCTCATCTTTGGACTCATCCAAGGAGGAAGGACACCCACTGACCTGCCTCTCTGAGCCAGTTTGTGGCCTACACTTAGCACTATGAGAATGAGAGATGCTGCTGAGAGACAAGAGCTGGGAGGACTGGGCAGTACCACTACCTTCTTGAGCAAGAGACCAAATCTTGAAAAAAGGACCATTATGAGGACACCATGTTTTAGTTAAAGCACTACCCTCATCATTGTTAGACCAATCCTTTCTGTATAAACCTTGTTGTAGAGACCGGCAGGAGTCACAGGCTATGGGAAAAATCAATTGGTTGTGGGTTAAGTTGGGATGGCTGGTAAACAAGTGGGCAGGAGGATTTTGGTACATCATCTTCATTGCTGGTGTTCGTATTTTGAGAGAAGCCGACGGTTGAGGTCCATCTGGTTTGACATTATAAGACTTGGTACATGCGACTGTAGACAATTTTTCAAACAAATACTGTGATGACGATGATGCAACATATTGATCTGGACAAGGGCCCATTATGCTAGCGCTAGAGTCTGTAACTTCTTCCTCAAGGAGTTCTAAAGGTTCTAACTGCGAAGCTTGGTTGACTCCTTTAAGAGAATTCCCTGATGGAGAGGACAACGGCTGAGAGTTTATGGGAGACTGTATCACTGTGGATGATTTCCTCGTGCAGTTCTCTTCCTGATGCTGACACCAAGACTTCACAGAACCAACAAACAGACCAGCATCTGTTCTGAGAGCTTGAATATCTTTACCAGCACTCAACTTCACATCAGTAGAATCTCCCTTAGCCTCTTTATGAAAAACTTTCGTTGAACATGTAATTCTCTTACTCTGATCTGGAGTGCATTTAACAGGACTGCTTCCCCCCCTCATAGACACATTGCATTCATTACCGAACTGAAGACTATCCAATATGTAGCTACCAGATTGTTCCCGTCTGTTACAACCATCTTGTTCCTCTGGGCCTAACCTCTCCCCACCCGGTTCTTCCCCTTGGCCCCTCACTGACACATACCCAGTGCGCACGCCTTTGCGAAGTACAGTGCCATAGCAAGACTATTTTTTCACGTTCTGTTTTCCCATGGAAGCACGTAGAGGCAGCTGAGCATCGATCCATTCATTAGGGTGGTTGATCATGCTACGCCACACCTCTGCCTCCTCAGAATGGGCATCCATCCAGTCCACCACTTTACCTTGATACGAGCCTGCAGATAAGATTAAACATTTTTTAATGTATATTTCAAAATGAGGTTAACGCCAGCATAGTCTGATGGTACATGGTCTACACCTCCATCAACTTGACTTAGATATTTTAAAAGGTCAGCTACTTCCACCCTGCCCAATACAGCCAACCCAGAGAGAACAGAATAATCTGATAAAATGTCTGCCCCACATGGCAATCACATTCATATCTCTTGTGTGCAAGCTGAAGAGCTTAACCATCAAACTTGAAAAGCCACTTCTTGAGGTTTAATCACAGTTAAGATATGTGTGTGTGTGTGGGGGGGGGGGGGTATGAAACAGACCCAGTGCATGTCAGCAGAAAGGTTGGACAACAGACACAAACACTTTGTAAAATAAATGTAAGTTACATTGCTGTTTTGTCTTCACTTCTCTTCTTCCTTCCCTATTTTCTCACGCCAAAGGACTGGGCTATCTGCTTTCAGAATAATCTACCTGTGTCTAAAAGGGTACCAAAAAAAAAGAAAAACTCTCATCTTTCTCTCATCAATCCTTCCCCTCTCTGCCTTTATCCATCCTCTCTCTCTCTC